CTGCTTCCTGGGGGGGGGGGAGGGGGTGTAATACAAAGGAGGCCTGGTGGAGGACCGGGCCGCGGGGATGTAAGCCTCGAAATCATCTCAAGATAAGCCACCAACGGAACGATCATTGCTAAGTAAACCTGCGCAGGCAATTTATGTGAAATAAAAAGTCACCTGCAGCTAACGACATTCTTTGTTGACGTTGACATAACTGAGAGCCAGTAAGCCTCCACTCACGATATTAAAACATTTTGTGTATTATAAAATGTTACTCAATTTTTACCTTTTTTTTTTTTTTTTTTTTTTTTTTAGATATATACAAGAGTTGTTACATTCTTGTACAGCTCTTGTATATATCTAAAAAAAAAAAAAAAAAAAAAATGTTCCATTTTTCAAAAATTTTGTTCCATTTAGTTTATTTAGAGGGTAACTGAAACTGTAGCAGGATATACTCTACCATACACTTCCCTCATACAGTATACTCTCTACACATACTCATATTTGTGTACTCTTTACTGGTACATTCTCAATGCAGCCTGACATTGACTCTGAACTAAATCTGCGGACATATATGTTTAGTAACCAGGACATTGATAGTGACTGCTGCAGTTACCACATGGACAACCAGGAGAAATCCAAACTTAAGTCTAACATTATCGTATCAGTATTTAACCAGAATGACACATCACTCAATAAACATTTTGATGGCGTAAATGTGCTATTAAAAGCACTTGATACTGAACGCTCTTTCATTATCGTAACAGAAACATAAAGATCTTTCCCAGTGTTTTTTTTTTTTTTTTTTTTGCAGGGATATTCCTGCGCGGGCCCTAAGCCTCTGGCTGGCCCACTAAGTGTTGCTTGTTTCTGTTTTACTTGGGCGGAGTATGAGTAGTTATGACTCGTTTGGTCGCTTCAGTAAGATTTTGCCCCATGTGTTTAATTAACAATTTCTTCTGCTCTGTTGAATCTAAGTTGAAATCTTAATGGGTTTGTAACTGTGCACTGTGTTAGATAATGTTCCAGTGGTCTATCGGGCATTTCTCCACAGTGCTGACATTTCCTCTCATCTTCCGGAACCTGTAAGTCTATTTCCCATGCACATGGGTATCCAAGCCTGATGCGATGTAAGTGTACTTCTGTTGCTCTACTGCTCCCTTTCATCAAAATAAGTGGTTCGTAGTTGGTTGAATTCTTGTACCAACCCACAGATTGTCACGCTCACACTAAACATTAAAGAGACCAACTACTTTTTATCTGGAAACAAATAATCACACAAACACACCTTCGATTAGACAGTGTAAATATTACTAGTAAAAGTAAAGGGCCATTGACCTGGGCTCTGGGAGACTCGAACCACCGTACCCCACACGTGTGAGGCCGAGGCTCAGTTTTAAAAGCTCACTTTTAAAACTGAGGTCAAGTTTTTAGACAAACTTAAGAACCCACATTCAAGATATAGGCTAACAAAAAAAAATATCTAAAACTGTTGGTTTAAAATATGAGATACTGTGTCTCTTGCTGCTCTCTCTACACACAGTACTGCTTGTTAATATATTTAACTTACAGGGTCTGTGTGAGGGGGTTCAGCCCTTCACATATTGCCTCAATAGCCCATCATCACGCACCAAGAATCAGCTATCAGAACTATCACAAATTCTGAGTTCAGACAGCACATATTCCCTCTGTTCAACTCCTTGAAGATGCTGAACATACACTCCACACTTTCTCTTGTGCACTTACAATACTTATGCCTAAATTATAATCCTGTTTTTGAACTCTAATAAAAGGACTTTAATAAAACAATGAACATCACTCAGGAAATAAATGTCTCTCTGGTATTCCCAGCCAGACTAGATGTGTGCAACACTCGGTGTATATAGAGGGATCCAATATATGAAACTCCTTTCCTGATGAAGTAAATAATTGTTCAATCTATACCTTATTCAAGTACATAAGGTCTGCATGGTACCCGGCCCCCTGGAAACACAAACCGTAAATGTCTCTATTTTCCGCTTGTTACAACATTGGAATTAAGCTGTGTTCCTTACCATACCGTTCATTTCATCAGTATAGTTTATGTTTTTATTTTGTCCTGTTTTTTATTTCGTTTTTTTTTTTAACTTTTTCTTATATTTCAGTGATGGAAACATCAGATCATTTGATGTTCTCAATTTTCTGATGGGAACATCAGAGCATTTGGGACTGCATCGGATGGGAAATGGTGGGGAGGACGAGGGGACGGGGGAGTGGGGGAGGACGAGGGGGACGGTGGAGTGGGGGATGGTTGGGAGGACAAAGGGACGGGGGAGGGGGGGGGAATGGTGGGGAGGACGAGGAGACGGGGAAAGGTTGCTGAGCCAAAGCAATGCGTGGCCGGGTACAGCTAGTATGTGTGTGTGTGTGTGTGTGTGTGTGTGTGTGTGTATATATATATATATATATATATATATATATATATATATATATATATATATATATATATAATATATAATATATATAAAGGGTACCACCTCTGGTTATGATTGTAGGGTCCCTCGGCTTGGAAGAAGAGGATATGTAGCATCCGGAGAAGTCTTGTGTTGCACCCACGTACACTCTCATATTGTATCCTGCTACCTCTATATATTTGTAATATATTAGTTAATTTTATTTAAATCATTAAATAAAATGGGTTACGACATTGGTTACATGCAAGGTTAGTTGTCACAGATTGTCGCGTTCCTCCAGCTGCTCAGATGGCGGGCAGGCACCAGGCACTATGGCAGCCGTGTGTGTGTGTGTGTTTCCTCTCTGTATCGCCACACTGAAGCGCAGGGAGAGGAGCTGGCGGCTCTAGGGGGTCTCTTATTATCTATACTGCGAGAGAGAGAATGTCTGTCAAATATTGGAGGCCAGAGTCTCTGAACTCTCATCCAAATTTGCAGGGAGAATAGTCTGGGGTGCGAGATGGACATAGGCTGGTCGAGTTACACTTAAGTTAAATGCTTTAAGAAATATTTACAAATAAAGATTGCCCCCCCCCCCCTCCTCCAATGCTATTTTCATGGAGTCGATCATATAGTGAAATATGTCGTGTGATTGCCGTGGAGTTCAAAACAGAGAAGAAGAAAAACAAAATAAAAATAAATAGAACATCTCAAAGACCCATTCAGCAGTTTCAGTACTTATTGAGTGGGATGGAGTGGGAGCCAGGGACATGGGAGTCATGGAGTGAAGAGTGGGAAAGGGTGGAAAAGGAGGAAAGAAGATAACCAGGGTTGAAGTGGAGAGGAGAGTACAGAGATGGTGATAGGGAGAAATTAGGAGAGATGAAGGGGTCAGGCAAATGTGGAAAAGAAGAGAGGTGAAAAAACAAGGGGAAGAGAGAGATTATCCTGGGACCTACCGGGTACCCTATGACCTGTCGGGTACCCTGGGACCTGTCGGGTACTCTGGGACCTGCCGGGTACCCTATGATCTGTCGGGTACCCTGGGACCTGTCGGGTACCTTGGGACCTGCCGGGTACCCTGGGACCTGCCGGGTACCCTGGTACCTGCCGGGTACCCTGGGACCTGCCGGATACCCTGGGACCTGCCGGATACCCTGGTACCTGCCGGGTACCCTGGTACCTGCCGGGTACCCTGGGACCTGCCGGGTACCCTGGGACCTGCCGGATACCCTGGTACCTGCCGGGTACCCTAATAGTATACTGAAGAGATAATTTATCATTAGATAAATTAGAGAAATATCATTTATCAGACAGACATTTATTTTTTGTCTGTCCAAAATTAAAGACCAGATACTTGGGGCAAGTTTCACCCAAATTGCCAGGGGATAATGGGTCCGTAGGCTGATCAAGGGAGGCCTAAGTTAAATGCTTTAAGAAATATTATAATTCATAGATATCCCCCATGCAACTTTCATGGAGTTAAAAGGTGAAATATATGACGTGACTTCCCTTGAGCACTTCCCTTCCCTTTAATAAGTCAATATTGACTTATTAAATATGTGCATAGGTGACATACTTAACATAATAGATACCCTTAAAAAGATTCATAGAAAACACCGACCTTACCTAACCTACTTAGTATGTTAAGATAAGCATCTTATTGCTTCGTAATTACAATTATTACCTAACCTATAATAGGTATAGGTTAAGTAATAATTGTAATTATGAAGCAATAAGATGCTTATCTTAAGATACTAACAAGGTTAGGTAAGGTCGGTGTTTTCTATGAATCTTTTTAAGGGTATCTATTATGTTTAGTATATCACCTATGCACGTAGTTAATAAGTCAATATTGACTTTACGAATTTGCGAGAACGGGTTGAGCACTTAGTGGTCATAATATATTCTTCAAGTGACCCATACAATTGTTTGTGGTTTTTAATAATACATTTTCCGAGAGAATAGGGAGAGGGGGAAAGCAGGGAGGATAAACACCTAAATCCCATAACTGTTCAGTAGACTCTATGATGCAAATGTTGCTGTAGTAAACTCTGGTGACCCCTCGAGGGGTCAAACCTTAATTATCGAGACCGTCTCAAGGCGCTCGGTGTTCTCTCTGGTAAGCAGATGCAGGAAGTGATAAATCTACGTGAAAGTTATCGACGATGTGGTCCTAGATATGTACAACAGAATAACAACATTCTGGAGTGAAAGATGTGATAGATAATAGAGAACAGACCCAGTGAGGAGTAGAGATACACTCACAGAACACTGAACATCACAGCTCCACGGCTGCTCAGTATCCTCGCAACAAATATAAGATTTGTTTTCAAAATATAATTGAAGGTTTTCATATGGCTATTGGACAAATTTCTGCAGAAATTACAGCTTAGCCGAATTGGAGTGAATATGGTAGCCCGTGGGCCAATAGAAGCAATAATCTAACTGATCAAGTTATGATCAAATAAGTCATGACCCAAGTCCAGCTTTGGCATACACAATCTCGAAAAGGACATGTTATCTCCTCTCATTAATTGACATGAAAACAAACACGCTTCCATACCTGAGAATAAAACCAGCTTTAATTGTTTGTTTATTTATTACATAAATACTGAGGTTGCCTCATCTGGCAACCGCTAAGCTTAGTCCCCTCTGGTCTTGCAGTGTGTAGTCCCATCACCTCGCCGGCAGGTCCTGCCACAGGTCCACGCATTCTAGACCCCTGGGGCACAGCTCGGGATTTAGCTCCAGGGTCATGTAACTACAGGTTCCAATTCCCTATTGGTCTCTACAGACTAGTCAAAGGTCCTATATAATCACACAGGCTTAGCACTTTATCCTGATAATGACCTCACCTAGCCCAAGGTGCCAGGTGGCCACACCGCCTCCTGGCCCCCTGGTGCGGGAGGAAGGTCTTCAGCATTTACAGATATGTTAATGAGGCAAGAGGTGGACAAGAGTGGGTGCTGATGATGGTATGTGGATGGCGGCCCTGAGAGCTACCAGTCCCTCGGTGAAGGAGGTCATCCTACAGCCAGGTCTTGCTGCGGGCGTCCTCCGGCACGGTGTCATTCTGTCCCTCTGCTAGTACCTGTAGCAGGTACGCCATGACGGGGTCCTCGTGACTGTCACGTGCCACTGTCCGTGGGACGGGGACACCACCACCGTCAGAGGGCCGCTGGTCCTCCCTGCGCCCTCCAGACACCCAGTATGGGGCTCCGTCCGACTCTTCTCTCGACACCCAGAATGGTTTTGTTTTTACTTCTTTCTTCCCTCGAGTTATCCACAATGGATGACCTTCTGGTTCATCTTTCCCTCTTCTTTCCCAAAACGGGTGTGTCGCATGATCTGCCTTGCCTCTGGCAATCCAAAATGGATGACTTTCTCCTGCCTTCTTGCCTCTGGCAACCCAGAATGAGGTGATGTTGGCGTCGTCCCGTTTGCCTCGTGATATCCAGAAGGGATGTGTGTGTGGCGCCTCCTTCTTGCCCCTGGCCACCCAGAAGGTCTTGTCCCCTGACGACTTGCCCACACGACTCACCCACAACGGTGGGCTGCCGCCGGGCCCACCACCAGCTGGCTTCTTGCCGCGACTAGTCCAGAAGGGACCTCCGCCCTCGCGCTTGCTGAAGAAAATGTCGTCGGAGCTTAGATATGAAATAACGTCATCCTGGTCGACATCTTGGCTGCGCATGCCCATAATCCATGGGTTGGCGCCCCAAGCCAGGTCGGTGCCCATTACTCGCTTGCCCCGAGCTACCCAGAAGGGCCCGCCATCTTTCTTACCACGGGAGACCCAGAAAGGTCCTCCGCTGTCTCGCTTGCCTCGTGAGCTCTGCTTTGTATCCCCAGGAGTAGGAAATTGAGATGGCGGACGGAGGGACGTGACCTCTTCCGCCCCTTCTCCCGGCTTGCGTGTGTAGGGCGTCTCCCCCCACAGGTCTTGGTTGGAGCCCCAATAGAAGGGCTGGTGACCCTGGTAGGCCTTCTTGCCGCGGGTTAGCCAGAACGCCCCATCACTGCCCATGACCAGGGTGCGCCTCCCCGCCGTGGTCAGGTCTCCGGAGGGTGGACGCTTGCCACGCAAGGGCCAGAAGCCTGAGGAGTCACTGCTGTAGGAGGGCAACAGTCGGGATGTTACATAAGGCGAGGCCTCCTCACCTGGTAACACCTGCTTCTCCTGCGAGTCATCTTCAACCTGACGGAGACAACACACGCAGTTAGTGAGGAACTCAAGAAAGTTACTAATGGAGACGTTTATTAAAGAATATTTTTACTAGTGGAGAATTTGGTTGAAAAATAGGTTTACTAGTGGAGACTTATATTGGAAAACAATTCCGCTTGCAGGGCTTACACTAGAAATATAATGATGGGGACTAGTGCTGACTGGTAATTGTGTTGGCAAGAACTTGTTATTATTGTGTGATCTGTACGTAAGCTATTTGAACAGCCATGGCAGGCGCCACTGTATAGAACAGAAACACATTGAAGCACGGCACGAGAGTGGATGGAACACAAATGGTAAAGCACGCCTGCAACATCCTGAAATGTACGAAAGTACGGGAAATGCAGGAAATGATGCTCAAAGATGGCCGCAGCGCCGGAAGTTGGTTACCTTGGGGATGTGACAGCATACCAGATACCAGGAGGTTTAACAGCATACCTGGGGGTGTGACAGCATACCTGGGGGATGTGACAGCATACCAGATACCAGGGGGTGTGACAGCATACCTGGGGGTGACAGCATACCTGGGGGTGTGACAGCATACCTGGGGGTGTGACAGCATACCTGGGGGGGTGTGACAGCATACCTGGGGTGTGTGACAGCATACCTGGGGGTGTGACAGCATACCTGGGGGATGTGACAGCATACCTGGGGGTGTGACAGCATACCTGGGGGATATAACAGCATACCAGGTGTGATAGCATACCTGGGGGGTGTGACAGCATACCTGGGGGTTTAACAGCATACCTGGGGGTGTGACAGCATACCTGGGGGTTTAACAGCATACCTGGGGGTGTGACAGCATACCTGGGGGTGTGACAGCATACCAGGGGGTGTGACAGCATACCTGGGGTGTGTGACAGCATACCTGGGGGTGTGACAGCATACCTGGGGGTGTGACAGCATACCTGGGGGGTGACAGCATACCAGGGGGGTGTGACTGCATACCTGGGGGTGTGACAGCATACCTGGGGGTGTGACAGCATACCTGGGGTGTGTGACAGCATACCTGGGGGTGTGACAGCATACCTGGGGGGTGACAGCATACCAGGGGGGTGTGACAGCATACCTGGGGGTGTGACAGCATACCTGGGGGGGTGACAGCATACCTGGGGGCGTGACAGCATACCTGGGGGTGTGACAGCATACCTGGGGGCGTGACAGCATACCTGGGGGCGTGACAGCATACCTGGGGGCGTGACAGCATACCTGGGGGCGTGACAGCATACCTGGGGGCGTGACAGCATACCTGGGGGTGTGACAGCATACCTGGGGGTGTGACAGCATACCTGGGGGATGTGTCAGCATACCTGGGGGCGTGACAGCATACCTGGGGGCGTGACAGCATACCTGGGGGGTGTGACAGCATACCTGGGGGTGTGACAGCATACCTGGGGGTGTGACAGCATGCCTGGGGTGTGTGACAGCATACCAGGGGGTGTGACAGCATACCTGGGGGATGTGACAGCATACCTGGGGGCGTGACAGCATACCTGGGGTGTGTGACAGCATACCTGGGGGTGTGACAGCATACCTGGGGGTGTGACAGCATGCCTGGGGTTGTGACAGCATACCAGGGAGTGTGACAGCATACCTGGGGGCGTGACAGCATACCTGGGGGTTTAACAGCATACCTGGGGGCGTGACAGCAAGGGCAGCAGCTTACCGGTTTAGTGATAGCAAGGGCTGAAGCAAGACAGGTCGCCACCCACAAGCAACCCATCACGTCGCTCCGTCTGCAACAGAAAATGGGGCATCAGTGTGTCTTCAATACGAAAACTTTATTTGTGTAGAGTGTGTCGTCATGAGGTGTAACACAAAGCTACACTGTGGACTCAGGTCCCGGCTCTCAGAAAACAGAGTCTGAATCATGCAGGCGAGGAGTCACAATAACGTGGCTAAAGTGTGTTGACTAGACCACACACTAGAAGGATCGACTTGAGAATGGTCCAGGACGGACCGAAACGTCGTCGTCCCTTCACCTTCAAGTGTGTGGGCTGGTCAACAGAGTCTGAATAATGTTTAGTATTGTGTCACGTGTAACAGAATGCGGAGAATAATTATTTTCGACTTAAAATTTAAAATGACAGTCAACAATCTAGAAATCTAGAAAACTGCATTGATTATTTGCAAGCTCACAAGCAATTTTACACACCTTAGTTAAAAAAGGTGTAAAGGGAAATATGGATAGGATGGTTTCAAGATTACCTAAGTCACAGGTATGCCAGAGTAAAGTTGCAAGGACACGTGTCAGATTACCACTTGAATGAGAATGGGACTCCACAAGGAGGAGTCCTCAGTCCTAGTCTTTTTAACATCCTTATGGAAAACCTCGTTACCATGACATTTGCAGAAGGGGTTAAATTGGTAAGCTATGCTGATGATATAGCATTAGTCATTACAGGTCCTTCACGAATAAATAAAGCACAAGCGGCGTTAGATAAAGTAACATCTGAATGCTTCATTTTAGGGATAAAAATATCTGCACAGAAGTTTAAGGCAATGAGACAAGGCAGCAACACTCCAGACAGGCACCTACGTATTCAAGACATTAACCTTCAGTGGGTTACACAATATCAATATCTCGGAGTGTGGATAGATGCTAAAATGATATTCAACAAGCAAATTCAATATCTGAAGGAGAAAGCAAAATCACGACTGAATATAATGAGAGCAATCACAGGGCCCCGTCTAGGAGTGGGACACAAAGTGGTAAGAATGTTTTACATACACGCCGTTCGTTCCCTAGTTGATTATGCAGCGCCTGCCTTACTCACTCTTTCTCCTGGTCAGTGGGCAAACGTTGAGGTTATTCTAAATGATGCAATGCGAGTCATAACAGGAGCTCCCAGATGGACTAAAATACTGAACCTAAGACTAGAAACCAAGCTAACATCGATTGAAATAAGAATAAAAGGGATTGCTGCGTGCATGCTGACCAAGATATTGACTAGACCCAGAATCAGTTCACTTAGAGATATAATCACTGGAGCACTAACTCTGGACAGAAGAGCCTCCAATAGCAACAGATGGACCCATTGTGCGATAAACACCATCAATACATTCGATATAACAAACACAGTCACTGAGAAGGGTGTCGACGAAATACATGCAGACTTTGTTATGCAAGCCTCTTAGGAATCTCTGCCAGCAGACTTTAAGATTATGGTTCTTGAAGGAAAAAAGAACCAGACAAATCCTCATCTGCTACGTAATATTGCACAGATGCATATAGGAGCAAACTTGGCATCTGACAGCTTCACTTACTTCACAGATGGATCAGTAGACCAGCAGGGACAAGAAACCAGAGCTGCAGTTAAAGCAGGAAACTCTGGAAATAGTTGGAGACTCTCAAACGGGTTTTAATTTTTTTTTTATTAACACATAATAAAGGTACATCTGATTTTTTTAAGATTTAGGTATTTAGGTACATCTGCATTTGTACAGCTACCCTAGACTTTATGAAGGGGAGTACAATGTGTCAAAAAGCTAGCTACATGATGCTAAAAATTTTGGGTGCACTATGAGGATATCTTCAAGAACACGAGAGTGAATAAAGTAATTGCAAAGTACCAGGTACCAGATCCTCTTGCCAACTGGTCTGAAAGGTCTAATAACTGGGCATTCGGTGATGTAGTGCGGGAGATCATGCCGTAGTTCCTGCTCACAGAGTTTGCACCTGGAGTGCTCAGGATTGGGAGATCCGTCACCTGTAGCCACCTGCCACAGGTAACGGTAACCCAACCTGATCCTGGCACCTACTGTGTCGCACAGTTTGGTCGATGTTTTGTGCTGCCCATAAACATAGGTTTCAGATCTGAACAAATCATAGCTTTTTATACTGGTGCTTTCAGGTCGTTGGGAGTCAGTAATTTCTTTCTTATCAGGCCTAAGTGTTTAGAACAATACAGTTTTGACAGCAGAGATGGGGATACCTAGATCTAATTCAACTTCATCTTTGTTACACGCTAATTTGGCTGCAATGTCTGTCTCATTATGATGGGTTATATTTATGTGTGAAGGTATCCATACAAAGGAAATTCGAAACCCTTTACTCTGTGTGCAGCGATTATGTCATAAAATAATTGGGAGTATGAGGTTCTTGCTGTTAATCTTCCAGGAGTTTTCGATTGCATGAAGAGCAGACTTTGAATCACAGAATATTATTCCTCCTCCAATGTTTTTTAATGTTCTGGTAGCTAGTTGTAGTTCTGCTTGTGTGGAGGTCAGCCAGTTGTTTAACCTGACACTGACAGTCTGTGTGCAAATATTATTTCAATAAAACCTACATGCTGCTGCAGTCCGTCCAGTAGAGGATTGGACTGAGCCCTCGGTGTAGACACAGTGCTCGTGAGATCTTAAATTTTCGATGAAGGAGGCAATTGTTTCAAGTGTGACAGCTTAGAGAAGAGCAAGATTCTCATTACCTTTCTTGGTGACGGGTGTGTATGATACTTGAATGGTGGGGTACAGATAAAGAGAATATAGGAGACAGGTTAACAGCACTAAATAATTTGTCTCTGAGCAATGCAGGAGATGTAGGGTCTCTCATGACTTTAAGACAAAAGGTAGAGTTGACATGCGTAATTCTCTCTAGTATGGTTGGAAGCTTCAGTTCTTCCCTCATGTTGATGATTCTTGTGCATCTTGGGGCACCAAGAATTATCCTCATGGCTTCATTCTGTACTACTTCAAGTTTGTCCAACACAGAGGAGGGGAAATTAATTAAGTGCAGAGCATTATAATCAACGAGAGATCTAACAAACATCATATAGAATAGTCTAGCATATTTAATATTGATACCAATATTCTTACCAGTAAGTGTTCTCAATGGTTTTAGTCTTTCTTTTAACCTACGGTGTAGATCATTTACAATGTCACTGTTAATACCAACTCCAAGGTATTTGTGCTGCCTACACGTTTCAGTGTTCAACTTTACATAGATGATAGCCATTCAAAAAGCTTTGTAACATGCTCTTGTTGTCGTAGTCGTAGTCTTGGAGTCGTAGTCCTAAGGGCCCGGGTTCGATTCCCGGCCGAGGTACCTGGTTCCTCAGTTAATATGTACTGAGTAAAAAGTACCTATTTATCAGTAAATTTGTACCTGGGAGTTAGCTGCTTCCTGGGGATGTATGTGAGTGTGTTAAGAGAGAAATATATGTAGTAGATGTAATATATAAAAAATAGATTGGTTAGAAAGGCGGGGTCCAAGAGCTAATAGCTCGATTCTGCAGACACAACATAGCAAAGACACCGGCCCCGCCTCACAGTTCAGTCCCGGAACTGAGAGGAATGAGCTACGAGGAAAGGCTAAAGGAGCTGAACCTCACATCCCTGGAAAACAGAAGAGTAAGGGGAGACATGACAACCACCTACAAAATTCTCAGGGGAATTGACAGGGTGGACAAAGACAAACTCTTCAGCACGGGTGGAACACGAACAAGGAGACACAGGTGGAAACTTAGTACCCAGATGAGCCACAGAGACGTTAGAAAGAACTTTTTCAGTGTCAGAGTAGTTAATAAATGGAATGCATTAGGCAGTGATGTGGTGGAGGCTGACTCCATACACAGTTTCAAGTGTAGATATGACAGAGCCCAGTAGGCTCAGGAATCTGTACACCAGTTGATTGACAGTTGAGAGGCGGGACCAAAGAGCCAGAGCTCAACCCCCGCAAACACAACTAGGTGAGTACAGTGAGGTTGAGTGCTGCACCTCACACACTCTACACCCTCATAATTGCACTACTTTTAGCAAGTAAAGATATTTAAATGCTTGTCGGTATATATATAGCTTCTGAAAATATGTAGTGTTTATATATATATGTTAGAGGGGGAGGGGGAGTATAGGCCTTCACATCTTCTCCCCCCCTCCTCCCCCCCTTTCTTCCTAACCCCCCCCCCCTCCTCCACAACACCCCCCCTTCTTCCTTACCCCCCCCCTTCTTCCTTACCCCCCCCCTCTCCTTCACATATCTTCCCCCTCTCCCTTTCCCCCCCCTCCCTTTTCCCCTTCCCTTCCCCTTCCTTAACCCTCCCCCACCCCCCACCCCTGGAGTTTGCCACTCCATACAAAAGCCAACTACTATAACTTGTCCTTAACGTACGAACCCAAGCAACCCTCCACGCCTATCGATGCCTTGGCATAGAAAACGTGAATATTGTAGCGTGTCGGAAAACGAATGAAAAGAAATGAAATCTGAAGAATATCATGGGGGAGGGAGGTAGAGAGGGGGGAGGGAGGTAGAGAGGGGGGGAGGTAGAGAGGGGGGAGGGAGGTAGAGAGTGGGGGGGAGGTAGAGAGGGGGGAGGGAGGTGTGAGGGGGGGGGAGGGGGGAGGATTATTGGTGAGGGGAGAGTTATGGTGAGAGGGAGAGAATTAGATCAATGAGGAGAGTAGAAAATGGTAGAAAAGGTAGAAGAGTAGAAAACAGAAATGGAAAATGTTAAAGAAAAAAGTTGCTGCCACCATCCATTCTGGTGAATCATATACAAGACAAGAGTGGAACTTGTCTCTACAACAATATTATCAAAGGTGTTCATGTTAGCATGTATCAACTGTCAGCATGTATACCTGTATAACCAAGACTCATTAATTCATAAGTTATGCCCATAAGCTTCACAGTACTCTCCACCCAAGTTGTCAAGTTAACAAGTTTATGGAACCGAATTTACAAGAATAAGTTAATCAACTGTATGTTTAGTATTATAAGTATCATAATTCCACATAAAGTTAA